TTCAAATATAACTTTACTTTTTATTTTAAATGTCATATAACAGAGAACTCAGCACTACTTCCAGTATATTTGTACATTTCTTTTCATTTTGTCACAATTCACTGAAGTAAAACTATGATAAATATTTACTACAGATACTATCCCACCCAAGTCATTAATAGAAAAACATGAAAAGTAGTTCTATGTACTTCAAGTTAAAGCTGATCAAAATATCCAAGACAATTAAGCACAAAATCTAACAGAGCATCAGAGCACTAACTAAAAGACTGACACTATTATTACAGAGTTATTCACTGTGTGGTAAACACAGGGTGGAGTACACAGGAGCCTCTTCAGTTGTGGCAGTTGGACACCAGGGGGCGCTGCTGTGTTTGGAGAAATCCACTTGAGTGTATGTGAGTGTACTGGAGCTGTCTGCCATCTGCAAGTGGAACATACAGAATATTATCAGTGTGGGACGTAAAAGGTTTATATTATGCTCTTTTCTGATTTATGTTCATTACTCAAACAGAAAACACTCTGTTCCACCTTGTGATGTCATGATTTAGTACAGCAAATGCTCCACTGTGTTTTTAAACTCCCTGGAACTGTCAGTCTCTCCTGAACTAAAGGTAAAAGGAGCTGTTCACTTGAAAACTACCACTTCATGACATCACAAGGTGGAACAGAGCTGTATGAGCTTTGGAAATGTAGACAGACTAATAATAAAAGATTAGACAAACTTGTGAATGAAACAAAACAGAACTCTGGTATGTTTTTGATAACAACATTCTAAGATGGCTTAAAGCCAGTGTTGGGCAAGCAGTAAATTAGTTACAGTTATTCATCACTTTTCCCTCAAATTTAGTGTTAGTGACTGAGTTACTGTGTGATGAAAGTAACTTTAATACATATTGTAACTATTAGAACAATTAGAAGAAAAATCCTCAAAAATACACCCCAGCTGCTTTTTCAAGAAAAAACAATATTCAGCTTTATTTGTCCTGCAAATCCCTAAATGCACTGAGAGCCAGTGTGACAGAAGCAATTCTCCTTCACAGAGCTCAAAAGCACCAACTCACACTCACAGTTGTTTAGTCACAACAGCACAGGGCAAACAGCTGTCCCCTTTACACAGCACACTGTGTCCACACTGCAGTTACCAAACACACTGAAACCAGAACATTACACACATGTGCCACATGACGGCGCTTATACATGTGTAAACCTTATACATGTATAAACCTTAAACATGTGTAAACCTTATACACATATAAACCTTATACATGTGTAAACCTTATACACATATAAACCTTATACATGTGTAAACCTTATACACATATAAACCTTAAACATGTGTAAACCTTATACACATATAAACCTTAAACATGTGTAAACCTTATACACATATAAACCTTAAACATGTGTAAACCTTATACATATATAAACCTTAAACATGTGTAAACCTTATACATATATAAACCTTAAACATGTGTAAACCCAGAGGTGAACTTCCAAACAGATATTAGATGAGCTGCACTTATTACTTACTAACACTGTGTGACTGTGTTATTCCCAGAGCTGCTCAAAGCTCACAAGAATCCATTTTGTGTAATATAGGACTTAAAGGTCCTTAATGCTCTAAAAATATATGTTCCAAATACTTGTGTTGTGTGTTGTTCTGTGGGCATCAGAGCTGAGTGATCAGTCAGTCTCTGAGATGTTCCAGCTGCTCCAAAAGGATCGTGTCATTTCTATATGATCAATATAATATCCTGAGTGGAGACTAAAGCATGAGAGAGAGAAATGTTACACACACCTTTAAACTGAGAAACCATTTGGCGTCATGTTGAAAAGGCCTCCATTAAGTCTCACAGCACTACATTCATGTAAAATGTCAAAATAAAGCAGATTTAACACTAGCCTCTGGTCCTTGTTGCTCGCTCTGTTCCCGGGGACCATGGGCTCAGGAACTATTGGAGAAAAGTCACTGACTGTTTGATTGTGTTAACTGGAGTGGAACCTGTTCTCCATCTTCTCAGTGTTGACACACAAATCTTTTTTCAGGAAGGAAGTTGAAAAATATGATTGGCCTTACCACAGCCAAATCAACTTATAGCTCGGAGATGGAATTTTATTTATTTATTTATTTTTTTGCTTTTTGGACATTGAGTGTAAAGAACTGACAGACCATGTTAAAAGGTTCTGCTCAGAAATATGAAACTATAGTGTCAAAAATTCAATGTGAGAACTTCCTCTTGTGGGATCAGTCTGTAGTTATATTTACCAAAGTCATGGTTCCTGTTTTAATCATATCTGGCCACAAGTCTAAAAGAAAACCTCTAAGCATTTTGTTTGTCTAAAATGAAAGAACAATGTAAAGTGACGGTTGATCTGAAGTCAAGTCTTTTACCTGAGCTCCATCAGGAGCAGAGCACAGACTGTAGCTGGAGCTCTACAGGAGCCCCTCTGCTCTGTCTGCTCGGACGTCTTCATACATACAGCTGCTCTGCAAATTAAAACATATCAATTAAAGAGTTACACTATTTTTTGATCTATGTTCTAATGTCGTTTCCTCACAAACAGACGTGGAGTTGTGTTTTGTTTCATTCACACATGTTTAACACACACACCTGCAGATTTAGGCTGAGTTCTTCTCTCAAACAGAAAACACTTTGTTCCACCTTGTGATGTGTTAATAAAGGGAATGCTCTACTGTGTTTTGTAAATCCATACAAATTCACTGAAATCATCTGGATGATTTCAGATGTGCAATTGACCATCTCTACTGAACTAAAGGTAAAAAGGTCTTCTCAAAGTGCGACACTGTAGTTGTTATTCATTCTCTCCACGTTCGGTGGTGGTAGCTTGGCAAGGTGGGTGAAGTGCTTTACCGTTAAATATCAACTAACAGCCCGGGCATTTATTTCTTTCAGTCACATTTGCAGCCAGATTTGTGAAGAATCCCTCAGTCGTCCAGGGAGAATTCACGGTGAGGAGAAAATTCAGTTTGTCGACTGGACAAAAGTTAGTTTGGTTGAAGACGTTTCGCAGCTCATCCAAGCTGCTTCTTCACTTCTGGTCAGACGCTGGTGGACACTTCCTTATATCTGTCTGCAAAGAGGAGTTAACTAACTATTCTGAAACTACACCCAGTACAGGTCAATAGGTCTAACTAACAAACAGAAACTGTAAACAAGTGTGTGTGTGTTAGTTTCAGTGTAGTTAGCTCCTCTCTGCAGACAGATACGTATAAGGAAGTGTCCACCAGCGTCTGACCAGAACTGAAGAAGCAGCTTGGATGAGCCGCGAAACATCTTCAACCAAACTCACTTTTGTCCAGTCGACAAACTGAATTTTGCCACTTGCCACTTAACAGATTAGGCATTTATTTGAGACCAGGCAATTTGGGGCAGGCGATTAATTCCTTCCTCACAAAAATCTCGCTCAGCAAACCTGGGAAACTCAAATTCTTTAATTTAATTATTTTTTTTTTTTTTATTTACTTTAATATTTTATTTACAGTTTTTAGAGCAGTTATAAGATGACTTGATGACTACCTTGTCGGCACGATTCCTGCTGCCTCATCCCCTCATCCTCAGCCTTTCCTCGCCCCTTTACCACAACTTTCCTTTCACGCTGCAGCAGCTACGATGACATTGCTCCAAATGAACTGAAGTCAAACTGCTGCTATGTCTCTAAACATCACGCTCTCTGTGGTGTCGCTGCTCTGATCATCTTGGTTAACCAATATCTGGAAAAAAATATCTGGACGGCTGGATTAGACTGCATTAGACTCTGAGTTTATTTCAAATTCGCGCTTATTTATCAAATATACCCCTGCACCTGCCATTTAAAAGGGACCCGGCGGTTAATTAAAACCCGGCTATTAGGGGCTGAATGGCCGTGCAGGACCAGGGTCACAGACAGCGGGCGGACAGGAGAGAGCAACTGAAGGAAACACAAACAGGTTTTAACTGTCACCAAATACAGAGTGCAGCCATGTTGGGTTTTATAACTCAGGCTCTGACTTTCTCTGACTTTCCAAGAGCAAATTCTGAGATCACAGAGTGTTCCAGTTGTCATTAATCACAGTAACTGTTACCTAACAACCATGATGTTAACAAGAACCAAAACTTGTCTAAATCACACAATAGTTATGATTAGACTAATCAAAAACCTTTATTTCATTATATAAATGTTTAGACAGAAAAAAATTGATTCTTGCAAAACTCACAACTACTTCCTATACTTTTGTACTTTTCTACTTCTCTCCTCAAAGTGACACTTAACCGATATAAAACTGTGATAAATATTTACCACATGTACTATCCCATCAAACCTTTAAATGACTCAACTTTCTTGAAAATCTGGATGTTCAGAACTCTCACCTCTTGTATTTGAGCGTATACTGGGATGTCAGGAGCTCCTGTGGGAACACAAACACACATATAAGTTCAGACTTAAGTCCACATGTTGACTTTGCTGTGAGCTGCAGGTGTGTGACCTGGTGTTGTTCTCGCTCTCTTTCTCCTGTACAGTATGAGTGAGGTGAGTGTCACTGACAGGATGAGCAGAGCGCTCAGGCTCAGTCCTACGTACAGCGCCACCTCTGGAACAACAGACACACACACTCAGCTCAAGACAACATGAACATGACTTTAACCAAACAAGGAAACAAGAGTCTGTCAGAGGTGTAACTTTGATCAACAAGGAAAGTAGAGTAAAGTTACATTATATCCTGTCCTGCTCCTCTCACCTTAAAGAACACATATTGTGCTCGTGTCTGCTGTACAGTTATAATCTACGACAGCCTGGATTATTATGTTATAATTTGTAAATTTTAAATCACAATATTCATCTTCAACTAAGACTTAATAAAAGAAACAAGTCCACTGACTTCTGCATTAGAAAACTGTGGGTCCAGTGGGAGCTGACGTCAAAGTAAACATCATCACAACAAAGAGCCGTGCAGCTTTCAGCTCCTCCTACTGATAGCCGCCTTCGACTGCCGCCCAGATCTCCCTGCACCAGTCTCTTATGGATCCTCCTGCGGGTGGGGGGTCCACGGGAGGACAGCCACCAGACGCTCGATGTCAAACACCCACCCCAGGCCTGGCTAGAGGGTGGGGCCCGGTAACGCCAATCTGGGCAACGTCACTGGCCTAACCACTCTTACTCTGACCCGTCCCCCTGCACCTGTTTGCCTTGGGTGACCCTCCCAGAAGCATGAAGCCCCGACAACATAGCTCCTGGGATCATTCAGGCACTCAAACCCCTCCACTACATTAAGGTGGCGGTTCAGTAGCTCAGTTGGTAGAGCATTCGCCCACTGATCTGAAGGTTGGCGGTTCAATTCCAGCTGTTGACATAAAAAAACATCACAGGTTGAGTGGTCAGATCCACTGACCCACAGGTTGGCTGATGTGATTCCAGCTCCCACAGATGAATGCTGTCGTTGTGTCCTTGGGCAAGACACTTAACACACCTTGCTCGCTTGTGTCTGTGTACACTGGTGTGTAATTGTGTGTGTGAATGGGTGAGTGGTTCCTTGTTGTAAAGGGCTTTGAGTGCCTTGAAGGTGGAATAGCGCTATAGAAAAATGTGACCTTTACCATTCAGGAAGGGGCAAATCAAATTAAGAGATTAAGAAAATAAAATTAGAGAATGAAGTGTGTACATCACAGAGGGTGAAAACAGAGGTTGAATGACAATTTGGTGGCTCAAACATGCAAGAATCACTCCAAATACAACTTCAGAGGGTCAATGTAAAAAAGAAACAATTATAAAACAGTTAAAGCTCTGAAAAGGTTTTACATCATAGGTCTGCTTTAAAGGGGCATGATGTAACTTTTCTGGTGGAGTGTAATAGCCTGGTGGCAACCTTAGCGGTTTTAGGAGGAACAGAGTCAAGTTGAGCCAGTTTACAGTGCAGATCCCAGTGCATTTATTCCCGAAAAGACAAAAAAACAATTTACAAAAGTTCCAAAAAAAAAAAAAAGGTTAAAAACAGGCATAGCAGTTACCTGCGCTCACACAGCACCTCCCTGAACAAGGTGAGGCTGGCTTCTTTTAAAGGCCCTGTCCTAATTGGGTGAGCCCACAACGATCAGGTAAGCTCCAATAATTTGTACATTTAATATCTAAAAGCAAACTATCAAAACAGTGCCCAAACAATATCCAATTGCATCAATTACAAAAATGTATATCTCTTTATTTAAATTAGCAGTGTTTAATGTTTTAAAATACTAAATAGAACAAGTTAAAAATTTGTGTTCCCCTCCTCCAAACAACATGGTTGGCTGCCCCGGAACCTTCTTAAGGTGCTCTGGCTCCCCGGGGACTCTTTTGGCCGGAGCACCTGAGGCAGACCACACCAGAGGGGAAGTACAATTACTTTAACACAATTACTTCGATTTAAATGCACTTTTACTTTTCCTTATTTCCTTTTCTTTTACAGGTAACTTCAATCTGCACATACTCAATTATTCCAATAAACCTTTCTAAAACTTTTTCAGTTTCTCATTATTTTACCCTTTAATTAGCCCTAGGCCCAAGTAATGGACTGGCTACATTACATGGAGTCACCTGCCGTTGTTTTGCCTGGTATGTTCCACAGTACGACAAACTAATCTAAGCATGTGACACCACCAGGCTGCGTTACAGGTCAGATCTGTGGAGAGGAGGTTTTTCAGGGTATTTCTGAGCAACAAAAACATGTAATTGAATCATTGCAACATAGATAAGTTTAATGCCGCACTGTGGAACATTCAAGGCAAAGCAATAGCATCTTCATGAGATGAGCAGCTGCTGGACCCTCATCCAGAAAAGTGACATGCACCTTTAAATGCACCTTTAAGAATGCACAGTGACTCAAATGTTTCAGTGCTGCAGTGATGAATAGAACCATCTCATGTACACACTCTGAACACAAAGAATCATCATTAAATTCATGCACCACTTTGATATTGTTCAACCATTTATTTGACGCCTTCTGTGGATTTTGATATGGTGCTGCACAAGCGCTGTTGGTATTTTCTCTGCAGATAGAGCAGCTCCACGTAACAGATTGTAACACATTTTTCATGTTCATGTTACTTTCTGATTTGTAGTTGATGAAAATACTTACATAAGACATAATTACATACAGACAACACACAGCAGTCTCATTTTACCCAGAGAGCATCATTTACTATGTATATCTGTACTACGACAAAGAAATCAGTAACAGACCATTTAAAGTCAAGTGTAAAATACAGTAAACAAGATGTATTTAAATCATTAGTTAAACTGTTTCAACATAATATTGCTCAACCTGCAATGATAATCAAACAAAAATGGGAGGAGGATCTTAATATTAAAATCAAAGATGACATATGGAAACGGGCGTTAAATGATCTTCATTACTGTTCTATTAATGCCAGACTACAGCTGATACAATTTAAAGTCATACATAGGCGACATTATTCAAAAGTAAAGTTAAATACATTTTTTCCTCAAACATCACCTCTGTGTGATAGGTGCAAGACAATTGATAGGACACTTGAAAACCAATTCTGGTTATGCCCAAGAATCCAAGATTTCTGGAGCTCAATATTTAAATGGTTTTCCCGTGCTTTTAAGGTAACTATAGACCCTGATCCTGAAACGGCTCTTTTGGGGTTTTCTGCCATTTTGGAAAGTATGGGTCATGATGTCACCACAGTAGTAACTTGATAGCTAAACGATGTATTTTAAAACTCTGGACATCAGATTCTCTTCTTTGAAGCCTGGCTTAGAGAAATGGTGGTGCTGCATATTGAAAGACTGAGGTATGAGGTGTCAGGCAACCAACAAAAATTTCAGAAGGTATGGAGACCCATTTTAGAGTATCTGAATTTGTAGTGGGTCCCTCAAGAAGAACTTGAGAATGTTGTCATATGATGTAGCTGTGGACATTTATATTCAGTTTTTTTTTTTTATTGTATGAGTGTGCCCCATGGTGTGTTTGTGTGTTTTATTTTTTTGTTTTTGTTTATTTATTTTATTTAGCATTTATTTTATTTCTTAATGTTATGCTTCATTTTATCTTATATGTATATTTATATTTATTTTTGTTATTATTTGGCCATGTCATTTACACATGTTTCTGTTATGTAAGTCATATAGAATGTGAATTTAAATTCCGTTTATTTAATGTATGTGTATGTGTATATATGTATATTTATGTATGTATGTACGTATATGTGTATGGATATAGATATTATTATTAAAAAAATATATATATTTATCTATTTTTCTTTTTATTGTTGTTTGGGAGTGTTTGTTCTGAACTGAAAATGTGAATAAATACAGTTATAAACAGGATGTATTTAAGAGAAGAGTGAAGTGTGGACGTACCAGACCGTGGGGTGTGATCCTCATGAGGTTTTCTGGGGGTCTCAGGGGAAAGACCTCCAAGAACAAGAAGAATGAAACAAAAAACTTACAATGTCCTTTTCAATTAGCAATGGAGAATAAAATGTAATATTTAAGTTGTAAAGCCTACATTCTACTATTTAAACAATATCCATAAACTTACCACTTGAGACTTTAATTATAAAATCCTCATGTGCATATGTCCAGTTTTCTTCCAGTGTTCTTGAACCACATCTGTATGTTCCAGCGTCAGACAAGGTCACATTCCGGATGCTCACGTTCATCACATAAGGATATGAACGCTGCTTCTTCATTTCAAGACTGTATCGTCCGTTATCTCCTTTGTTAGAGGAAGTTTGAACCAAAATGTTTTCTTGTTTTTCACAATCATTTCTACACAAGTATTTCCAGGATCCATATGTGTCAAACAAACATTGGACTGTGATGCCGTCTCCTTCTGTTTTTTCATAAATGTCCACAGCTTTGGTGAATAGACTTCCACTACAAAGCACTGTTCAAAGAGATCAACATGTTAAACTGATAGAATAATAAAAGCTCAAATTGTCACGAGTAAACTTACCCAGAAACAGCACAGATACAAAGTCCATTTTCATGTTGATGCTTTGAATTTATCTGCATGTTTAATTTAGTCACCAGGAAGTTTCTGTGTTATAAAGGTGATGTCTACTTCAAGCTCAACACGTCACTCTTTCAGCTTCCTGTTCAGTCTTGCCCTTCATACTTTCATACGTATATATTTCCTCTCTACAAACCACAAAACTGCTCTAACTCAAAAAGGCACATTGCATTTTACGGAAGCCATGAGAGGCAAAAGAGAGAGGAAAAAAAAGAGGCAGGTAATTTGGGCTCCATATTTTAAGTGTTTTTTTTGTTTTTTTCAACTCAAAAAAAACCCCAAAAACAAACAAAAAAAAAACTTTTTTTTTCTATAAAAAATACAAATTTCTAAAAAAAAACAAAAAACCCAAAAGTATTATTATTATTATTATTATTATTATTATTATTATTATTATTATTATTATTATTATTAGTGTTAGTGTTAGTATTATTAATTTATTATTATTATTTTATTTTTTTTCCCAGTATATTCCTGTAAATACCAAACTTCAGTGGTGGCAAACCAGTGGAAGATTAGGATGTGGGAGGCCGGGGTTTGAACCTCACGTGTTCCTGGTTACTTGTGTATTCACTCTGGTTGACTGCTGCTCCAGGCTGGAAGACAGAACGCTGCACTGCCTCTGTGGTTTTAGTGGGACTGAGGTGCACCCTGACGCAGAGAGCGGTTGGGTTTCCAGGAGTGGACATTCTGCATTTTGTGTGTTCTCGTTGTGATGGGATTTGTGTGGATATTTGTGTTATTACAACATTCACGAGCGACTTTTGGAGCTGTGCGTAAAACTGCTCCTGTCCAACATGAGAGTAGGGTGCTCCAAGCAAACATGCCTGGCAAGAGGAGCTCATGGGGATTTGGGACAAACATGCGGCATATACTTTCATCCAGCATCAGTACCAAGGGTGTAGTGGGTGTTGTACGCCCTCCACCCACTTCTCCCAACGTGAGATTTAAAAAATAACAAATATAAAATAGCTACAACTTAAAATGTTTTTATTAAAGCCAAATCAAATATCCAGCACAAATGATGTATGATAGACAAACATGAATCATTTGTATTTTTTACTTTACACTTATATTTAGTTTGCAGGACTGCAGTTTATCATCCCACCTGCCCGCTCCTGCGTTGTGCAGTTTCACTCCCTCCCGTGCCCGCAGTGAACTTTCAAAATGTGTCCACTGTTTTGCGTTGGGACCTGCTGGAGGCCCGAGGGAGAGCAGGGTGTCCACAAAGCACCACTGGACGACGGCTGCGCTTTGCTCTGTGAGGCACGGAGCTCTCCATCCATCCTTTCACCTGTGGTCACCCGACGGTCTAGACGGGCACACCTCCGGGCCTGTCCCCACACTCAGTCTTGGTTCAGTTCTGGTTTAGTCCTGGGCTCAGTCCTGTTTTAGTCCAGGGCTCAGTCCTGGTTTAGTCCTGCTGTAGTCCTGTTGTAGTCCTATGTCAGTCCGGTTTTAGTCCTAGTTCAGTCCTGTTTTTTCCTCCTGGTTCAGTCCTGGTCTCAGTCCTGTTTTAGTCCTGTTTTAGGCCTAGTTCAGTCCTGTTTTAGTCCTAATTGTAAAATAAAACCTTATTTTTACATACAAATTTTCTAGGGGGCGCTATTGCACCCATCTTTCTTACATCAGTCTGTTCAGGGTCGGGGTGTGAACACACAGTTAAAATTTGTGTGAAACTGGCCAAAGTTTGTGTGATTTGTCAGTTTTACCAATGGAATAACATGGAGAGTTTATGTCATCGCTATGGCAATGCCATAAAAAATATGACATGGGTGTCATTGACTTTTGGATCAGGATGCCAAAATGGAATTTTGTGCAAAATTTCAGACATTTTTGAATAGCTATTTGGGAACAATTTGGGAACACCATAACCCCAACCCTAGCCCTAACTCTTAATGAAACATTACACACAACACACTGCAGTACAACTACTGTACAACTGTACTTTATATGTGAAGTGTTTTAGTTCATTGGGTTCAGAGATTCACAGCTCAGAATTTTTATTCAGTGAAATTAAGAACCGAGTTTCTCAGACTGTTTTATATTTTATAATAAACCAGTCGACTCTTAACAGACTGTAGGAGAATTACACTATGGAACTTTTCCTTCTTTGATGATGGTTTGAGGATTTCTTTTCTTTTCCTTTGCTCGTGGGCACAGCAGCCTTTGATGGCGTTATACCCTGCGACACCCATCTGAGAGGAGAGCGTGTGTCTGTTTGTATTCTCCATATTTCGGACAGAGGAGCAGAGAAGGGACGGGGAGATTAGGGGAATTGGATTAGCGGTCACGCACAGGATTACACATGTGACGGAAATGTTCAAATATGATAATATAATACGCTTCCATACATCATGTGTGCGTGTAGGAAATGAACACTGCTGGTTAATATGCAAAATGTGTCAGTTTAAACCTAAAACGTCTCTCTCTGATCTAAATAGTCTCTGCCTAAACCCCAGCACCTGCACCAGTTATGAGTCAGGGAAGGAATTCTGGAGGTTTTGAGCTTCACATGAGGCCTGTCCATAAACACCTGGATGTGTCTCTATCTGCAGGTTAAAGGACACATATTATGCAAACTCAGTGTTGGGGAGTAACAGATTACATGTACCGGAGTTATGTAATCAGAGTACAAATTATGAGTAACTGTATTCAGTTACAGTTACTGTTTCAAAGAGTAGTAATTGGATTAATTGGTATTTTCCTGGATTGGATTAATTGGTATTTTCCTGTTTTCACATTTTGGGCTATATTCCTTTTTTTCCCGGTAATTCCACTCATTGTCGGACACTAAATCAAGTCCAAATCACATCTAAACCCAGGTCTAAACCCAGGTCTAAACCCAGGTCTTTAAACCAGGTCTAAAACCAGGACTAAACCAGGTCTAAATTGGGATCAAACCAGGTCTAAACCAGGTCTTAAATCAGGCCTAAAATCAGGTCTAAATCAGGTCTAAAACCAGGTCTAAATTGGGATCAAACCAGGACTAAACCAGGACTAAACCAGGACTAAAACCAGGACTAAAACCAGGTCTAAAACCAGGTCTAAAACCAGGTCTAAAACCAGGTCTAAAACAGGACTAAAACAGGATTTATCAAGACTAAATCATGCTGCGTGGACCATGTCTCCTCCTCTTCTATCAATAATATTTTTAATACAGTTCAGTAAAGTCTGGACTTTTTATTTTCTTTTATCAGACAAAACATCTTATGTGAAGATTTCCTGGTCTTTGCTTCTCTACAGCAAATCAAGTAATCCAAAGTACTCAGATTACGTTTCTCACTTTAAGTAATTTAATGGATTATGTTACAAAATCTGTAATCTGTAGGGGATTACATTTTAAAAGTAACACTCCCAACACTGTGCAAACTCAATTCTTACTTTTAGCCAGGTTATACAGTTCCCTCATCAAAAACATGCACCTGGAGTTGTGTTTTTGTTTCATTTGCACTTGTTTCATTAATCCTTTAGTCCAAAGTCATCTCCTCTGAGCACTCAAAAAAGATCCATTTACATTTTGCCTGTCTGGTTGTGTCATTGATAAAACTCCAGCCTTTTCCTCTGCTGTTTTTAAGGCCATAATCTCTCGACTCATTCTGTGGTCAAATTGTGTTCACAACTAAAACATTCCTCTATTACACTTTTTCTCCGTTGGTTTGGCTCATTTCTTGAAACAGAAATGGCATTCTTAAAACTATAAAATCATTTGGCTGAACAGTCTGATAGTTCTGCACAACATTACAGCTCACAGCAAAAGCTCAGATCTCTCCCAAAACTGTTCCCTCATGCTTCAAAGCAGATTCCTTTCTCATATAAAGAGTCAGGACCATCAGAATGGCAAAGATCCTTCTCAACACTGTTTCACACAGTCACATAGCGTGACAGGAAGTTCTAATTTCACCTGACTGACAATTAATATCATGAATGTATCAAATATTTAAAAAAAATCATATATGGTGTTCATGGTGTCATGTTCTTAACTAATTCTGACAGTTGACCAAACTATTGTGCAGATGATGATTTAAACACTGAAATCACACCGACTTGTTTTGGAGAGAATAACCATTAGACTGAAAATCATCTCATCAGTTTAGATCAGCAAGATGGATTTATTTGGAAAATGTACTAAATGCTCATTGTGTAAACTGTATGTGACTTGTACAGAACCAGATCAACGAGGTCAAAATATTCCATCATCACCATGGCGATGATGGAATCAAGATTCAAGATTCCATCATCACAGTAGCGATGTCTTGTGTCAGCCAATCAGCTAACAGCATGGAGATTATGTAACATTCTGTATGTGACATCATGTGACCTTTATGCCCTGTAAGGGCACCAACACTTCTGGCACCAAACACAACTTCTCAAGACACTGTTGAAGACACACACAACCATGGACAGCTCGTACACTTTCTCCTCCAAACCCTGGCACCTCTATACACTAGAGGACGACGCCCACCTCTATGACGAGGACTTCAAGCTGGAGGCTCTGCTCTGCCCCACACCATCAGGCGGCGTTCAGAAGCCAGCGGAGACCCAGGTGTCTCCCGACATCCAGGACTCCTCAAACTTTGAGGAAAGAAGTCCGGTCCAGGAACTTCCACCCCTGGAGGACAGCGCTCTGGTCAGAAAGCTGCGCATAGAGCTGGAGCGGACAAGGGCTCAGCTCAAGACTGAGGGGAAGATGGCCAAAGAAAAGGCCTTGGAGCTCACTAATGCTCTTCAGGAGAAAGACAAGCAACTCCAAGAAGAGGTTAGAGCACATAAAAGGCTCCAGTACCTGTACCAATCTAAAGTACAGGAAAATGAACACTTAAAACAAAAGCTGAACTCTGATGAAGTCACAGAAAAGTCTGCTGAAAGACTTGCAGAAGAGTTGCAAAAACTTACTTCTACTCTCCAAAAGAAGGAAAAGGAACTCCAAGCTCTAGAGAACACACATACGAAGATCCGCGTCCTGTACAATGTTAAAGTACAGGAGCACGTGCAACTCAGGCAAGAGTTTGCCAACTTCAAAAAAGTCAGTGAAAAAACAAATGAAAAAGACTCTGAGTTGA